TCACATAATTCTTTTCAAGTTTCAATATATGCTTGACATAATTAACAAAGATATTTATCTCCTTCTACATAAAGGCCTCAAATAGGAACTTCCGTTACATAGATTTTCATCTCTATTTCGACAGTAGGTAAAGACATCATTATAGTGACTATTCCTGCTATCCTCAGCTCTGTTCATTGTACTGTAAATGTGTACCTGTGTACTATCATTTCTGACGTCAGCATAAACCCTAAAACACAAAACTAACAAATTTATATGTTAATTACTTCCCCTACCGCGCCACCTTTTATTTACAATTAAGTCTATGAAATGAATATCAGTACGTCCTTTCAAATAAAACAATTATTTTCTTTCGAAAAGACTAACACAAATCTATATTCAAAGAAAGCAGATATAATCGGTATTGAATTGCATGTTCATTACAAACATGCTGTCGAATCAAAACGAAATATATATTAATCTTTATGTATCAATAATGAGCTGTGATGTTAGCTATCATTGATATGACTTTAACCTGTTTAATGCTTATATTTACTTTTTTGAGAATATTTGCATACCTTTATTCGTCACATTACCATTAAGTCAAAATCAATTTTGAAAGAAATGTTAAAAAGGTTTTATAATTTTTTTCTAAATTACATTTACCGCCCTGAAAAACCCGTAGTTCATTAGAAACATAATATATAGCAGATGAAACAGCTTATGAAAATGTATCAAATGTGAAAGAAAAGCTCACCAAGGATACCTACTCGTCTTATAATTTGGTACGTCAGACACGCGCTTCGTGTACGTTAGACTCATGTTTGGCGCTCGACTCAAATAGTTGGAAGGCCAAATTCACTAACAAAGTTGAAGAGCGTTGCGTCAAATCCGGATAATGTCATCTTTAAAAAAATATAGGACAAGGCGTATGCTTGCAATGAGAAAGTTCTATCCCCTTAAGTCAAGGATGCAAACATCTGTTGGCCACCGTACAGTCTACGGTTGTATGGCATGGTTTTGTCTGTCTTTCTTTGTCTCTTCGATCTTTGATTGCTGTATTGTATCCTTATATTTTTTATTTCAATAAACCGACAAACTGACCCGCATTTTCAATAGGCATGACATCCGTAACAGATACATTAATCAGATTTCGATCCATGAAGCTGTTGATCGTAAATTTAATGTCAAATGTTTGTGTTTTCCATTACCAGATGGTTTTTACCTCTCTGAAGCATATATTGACTTAGCTGTATTTGGAATACCTTTGCAATTGAAAGCATCTGTAGTTTTAAACTTACGTTTCTTTTTTTCCGATCTTGAATTGTACAATCCCTGCAATAAAAGACAGTATTCATAATTTCAAAATATGTCATAAAATATACAAAATACAAGTATTGTCATTGTTTCATTACAGTGTATTGCATATGTTCCACTGGTCGTCATTTTCGTCCTAATAAACCTAAACTGCATTGTTCTTTCCACTATTTTTGTCAGCTCACTGTTTTCCAAAACTTCCTAAATTTGATCTAAATGATGTCAACAGTGATTTTCAATCCTCATAAGCAAATTTTAAAATCTTTCCGAGTTTATGTGTGAATGTGTTCTTTGTCTATCTGTTTCAATGGTCGGTTTTAATAAACCTTTTTAGAATCTCACAGTGCATCCAACTGATGCTGTTAGATTCCAACTTGTCCAGAACAATTATTAACAAAAACACCAAATGCTCGACTTTATATCAACAAACCGAACAAACATAAAACAACTGTCATATTCCTGATATCAAATGGGGGTCAAATCAATTTTCTATGATGCTGTTTCAAAATCCTCATAATAAAATGTAAATAATATATGGGTTACATTGATGCTTAATCACTGTTTAAAAAATTTGCCTTGTAAAAAAACGCATTAGTGACTTTTAGATAAATAGGATGTTATTTACAAAAAATCAATTTAGATTTAAAGGTCTGTCATAAGAATTTCTCATTTTAACACTAAGATACAAAAGCAGACATAACAAGAACAAAATATAATATGAGCAAATGGAGATTTTGTTGTTAATGACAGCGTCACATTAACCTCACCACACAAATTTGATAAAAATATGTCTTGAGTTCAACTTATGGCTATTGAAATAAGCAAGAGCTAGCTTAAAACATATGTACCCAATGCTGAACATATGGGCATTCTATAGCAAATCCACAGCATTTCCCCTTGTACTCTTATATTTGAGAATTCAATACCTAATAGATAGAGGACTATTGCATGCATTGCAAGCAAATCTTTCCCTTAAAAAAAGTTTTTATATAGATATTAGTTAAACAAATGTACAAATATGGACAACTTCTAGGATGCGCTGAACTTTTACAACAACATGAGTTTTTTTTTATTGTAAAGAATGTTTTTGGTATTTTGTTAACAACTAACGGTAGCGTGATATGCCCCAACATACCCATTTGCCATTAAATGCAACGAAACAATAAGTAATTTTTACTTTGAAGAACGTTTCCCTTGGCATATGTACAAAATGCCATGTTTTTTATTTACAATCTTTGTTTTTTTTTTTTATATTATGATCTTTGACCATTTCGTAATGTAACAGGCAGGAAGAAGTGATCATAAACCTAAACCATTTGTCTCGAATTCTACTTTAGATTTGAAAGTTCAATGAATCAAACCAAACGACCAAAAAACTAAAATAAATACCAAAACGAGAAGGAGACAGCTTGCACAGTTTATGATTTGAGAGAGACAAACACGAATATGTAGATATGCCAACTTAACTTTAATACTCAACATGTATACAATCGAAACAGTAATAATGCCAAATCATTACCAATTCACAAAACATTTTCAATTTGATAAATCTTTTTTTTAAAACGAGAAATACAACAACACTATGAAATAACAACATTATTTTGCGTCGAATATGATATGTTAATATATATATATATATATAGATAGTTTGTTTTGAAAAGAAACAAATCATGCTTAGTAAAAAAAAAAACATTCTGATTCGAACTAAAATTCTCAGAAACTGAAATCATCCATGTGCATGATTTTTTTCATTGACAACGTATTTGTTACCTTTAATAAACTTGTTTTAAGTAAACAGTCAGTATTTCAAAGGACGCCATAGGTGCCCTTTTTGTTGATTTGGTTTTTTTTTCAGTCATATGAGGCAAACGTCACATAGGACCTTCACAAGAAGAATGAAACAAAGCAAGCGTCATCCTTCAACTTTGTGTTCTGCTATAAAGACGACAAGCTTACCACGAAAATATTTAAACACTAATGACTATGTTGATTGCATCTATCCCATTGAACTTGCAATAAGAGATAGCTTAGATACAGTTAATTTTGCATCACATCATGACTTTACATCTAGAAATAAATAATGAGGGTCGTAACAGAACAAACGATAAACGAGATGAATTCAGTTTTCCTTATGTAAACTTTCCATTTCGGTGTAGCAACATAATACATCTAAGTTTACTTTCAGTTGTGCTTGGGTTCGTTTTGCTCAATAACTTGTATTCTGTGTAGTGTTTTATAAGTTGTTGTCTATTCGTTTTTTTCGTCTGGAAATGGTTTTTGATAGTTCCATTAGTATTTTCCCCTTCTTTTTGATAAAATATTATATTATACCTTTTTTATGTAAAATATATAAACCAGTCATTTCTGCAAGTTGCAAACCAGTAAGTACTCCCACCACAGCAATCAATATTGAATTCACTACTGTTGAACTTTCTAAAAATTTAATGATTTAGATATATAAGTGATTTACCATAAGTAATACTAAAACTGAAGACCGTCGGGATACAATTAGTTGATTAAAACGAAATTGAGAGAAGGCAACATTCGAATTTACTTTTACCTCGTCCTGTTTTAGATGCTAGTGTAAGAGACAAGCTTTTTTCTTGTCCGTTAATTTTTCCTTATTTTATTTTCTCCTCTGACATTACTACTCAATTCAAATTCAAATCTTCAATGAATAATATTAGTAACAAATGATTTTGATCAGTCAACTACTATTTTCCTCGACGCAGACACCTTTTTAAAATTTGTATGGTAATAATTTATCGTATAGCGGGTTTTTACAATGACAAGTCATTTGCATTAAACTGTCGGTTCCCAGAAGAAAACGGTCGTTTCCTATCCTACGTTTAAGAACTGAATGCGTCTTTTTGTAATTGTATTGGAGTTTAAAAGCTTTGACCGCGATACATTTTGTGTGTGAAGCACGGAATACTAAAACTGTGCGCGCGATCAACGCTTTTACCACCCTTTAAAATTACTAAAAAAGCATTCAATTCTTATAATAACATTGAAATGGTACAACTATAAAATTACGAGTTATGTCAAAATTTTTCATTTGTTTTCATTTGTTCCTCAATATGTTGCTGTGACATTGTCATGAGAAGCACGTGCTATCATGAATGTTGTATTTTATTGAAAAATGAGATCTACTATTCGAGTGCCTCCCGATTATTGTCAGCCGATCAAAAGTAACGATTCTTATGGAACATTCATTTGTACATGTAATGTAATTATTTTAGTGTGCATCAACAGGAATAAAAGGAATTGTTTCTGTTTTGTGTGGACATATTAAAGTGCATTGCATTCCATTGTGTTATCTTCTTTGTAGGCTGTATAGAGTTACATTTCTTCTGTTATTATCTGTCTTACATTTTGATCGATTGTGTTTTTATGTTCATAGCTGGGACACTTGCTTTTTTATGATATTAAGACTTTTGAATCTTTTGACAGATGTTGCATGGATTGCAAATTATGCTTATTAAAAGGCGACGCACTTGGTCTCACTTTGCTTGTATTGGATACTATTCTGACTGTTTTAAATTCCTTTACATGTATGTCTATTAATTCCATTTCTTATGACATCTAAATATACATCCGCATACAATTGTCTGATGTATTATAAACTTAATATTAAAACATTAGTAAGCATCAAAGGTGATTAGATTGAATCCTTCTCTAATAATAAAATATCTGAGTTCTACCTTTTTCGATCTTCATGCTGAATGTTTTATGGTTAGTAGAAGTAGTCTCCATCTTTGTCATTGTCATTGTCGTGGCAGTTGTAGTGGTAAAGTCTGTTAAGGAAATTATATTCATGTATGAATTCATCCAGACTTTATCTCATCATCAATATTTTTATAGTGAAATAAATGTAAACAAGTAGTGCTCTTATGTGAACAGTAGCATGTGACATGGATCATAATTTAGACTTTAGAAATTTGGTGTGTCCAAATTGCTTTCTGGATTTATCTTCATCAGCATCAAGTATAAACATTTAAAACCCATGGACGTATAAATAGTTGTCTTTGATTTGTTGTGTTTTCATTATCCTCTCCATTTAAGTTTTTGCATTGTACGTCTTACGGGTTTCAAATATTCTGTATTTTAATAGAATATAAAGGGAATGGGTATCCATCCATGACACAGAATTAGTACATGCACTGCAAAAAAAAAAACTAACACAAAAGCAAAGGAACAACATTTTAATTGCTGTTCAATATCTCAAAGTACAAGAAGGCCTTCTACAATGAGAAACAACTCTCACCTTACTGCAAGTTTAAGACGACCCCTTACACCGGTAAATCATTTATGAGCAAAAAAAGACCTGAATTAAATGCATTAAATCTCCATGTCTCCAGACGAGAAAGTTCTTAGTAAACCTATGGTAATCAATTAAATGATTTATTCTCTGTTCAAAAGGAAATATTGGAAGTAATTCAAAATAAATCCCACTTATTTCAAACGAAAAGAGAGAATGTTTGCTGGAGTAATTCAAAATGCCTTTTCGATCACCCTAATATATTACGGTAATGTTTTAAAGTTTTAAAAATGCATTCTAATTTTTCAACAAATAAGAGGTGCAAAACAAGTAAAACACTTATCTACAGCATTATCAATATTCTCCATAAATGAAATGATAGACACAATTATCGGTAGGGAATAAAAGATTCAAAATTGAACGAACTTTCCTTTCGGTCATTTTAGGTATTAATGCAAATAGGGAACAGCGAAATTCTACGTTAGACCATATGCCACAATATTTTCCTGTGTTACCACAGGGAAGTTTTTTTTATAAATGGGTTTTCTCTTATTAACCAGAGTGGACGGTTCATTACTGGAACCAATTTTGAATTATCGTATCCTGCAAATACCGGGGAAGCTTTATTCGGGTTGTGGTCTCTAACGTCAACTGGTGGGACTCTTGCTCCTCGTTCACTTTAATTTCCATAGATGAACCTTTGTTATTTCTGTTACTTGAGAACACCTTCTTTCCAATATTACAAATAGAGGTGGTTTTTTATCGATTTGACAGAACGAGTTACCAATTTATTTCCGTGCGGCCGATTTCATTCCATACAGTATTTCTTGAATTATTCAAAAATTCAATATAACTACCATCATTGTAAGAGTTTATGGATAAGAGCAGGTATACACTAACTAAGGTAAAAAATGGGGGAATTGTTAAGGAAAATTTACCAAAAATTTGTGAACAGTAATCAAAGCAGGAAAGATAAAGAGGGTCCATGTCATACCTATTTGTATGTGCTTAGAGTTGCTCGTTTTAAACATTTGTCAATTGAAACGGTTCTGTGCAACACATATGTAGTTTTCTGTTTCATTAAACACACCATTATTGATCTCTCTCTCTGGGAGTGGGTGTGTGGGTTTAAATACTCACCTTTTTTATGTGTATCGCGTTGTTCATGTTGAATGTCTGTCCATTAAAACTGTTCTGTGCCACAAATATGTAGTTATCTGTTTCATTACCCACAACATTATTGATGACATATGTAGGACCAGTCCCTAGTGACACATTGGCGTTGGATTCTTTGTACCAAGTATAACCTGTGATTATTACAGCAGGATTTCCATCTGATGTACAAGTCAGAGTTATGTGTCCTGCTCCTTCACCAAATGTTGGCTTGGCAGGAGACTTAATAAATTGCACATTTCTTACACGATCTGTCAAAAAAATGTTTTGCTAGTTGTACATTTCTGATAAAATCTGTTAAATAAGTTACTTGTGCATTCCTCACACACTCTGTAGTAAAAAAAGACAGACCAATGTTGTTTAACTTCAAATTGTTTATCAATTTGCAATCCTGTACTTAATTCTTTTCAAATTATTCTTTCCTTCATGTTACTTTACCTTTTTTGTGTTAAGTTTATCAATTAAATACAATCAAATGTCATCTGCATTGTTGTAAAATCGATGGGTACAAAATATTAATTTACATAAGTACCCTCACTATCATGATAATTAGCTCTGCTATTACTAGTATTAAAAAAAAACTTTTTGAAATATACCCCCATATGTTATCAAATAGTCCGTTTCTATATGTTTGTTGGCATTTGTTTTTGTTGCACTTCAGTGTTTCTGCTGTTCCGTTGTTTTCCTCTTATAGTTGATGTGTTTCCCTCGGTTTTAGTTTGTAACCCGGATTTGTTTGGTTTTTTTTTTTCTCAATCGATTTATGACTTTTGGAACAGCGGTATACTACTGTTGCCTTTATTTACAATCTATTTTGTAATCTACCTTAAGGGAATGACCATTTGATATTTTGGGAGATTTAAATGGTCGTAACCTGAGGGATTTCAGAAGTTTTATTTTATCAGGAAGATTTAGAAAAATGAATTGACATTCGACTTGTTTTTCATTTTACAACATTTGAATTTGAATCAAGCAGTCTTCATTTCTCTTATTGTAACATTATTCTAGATTTATGAAGTCTATAATTCTACTCATTTATTTACACGTATATTTTTACTCCTGCATCGACACATTTTAATCTAACAACTAACAATAAACATTAATGCCATCAGTCTGTCTGTATAAACTCCCCTGTGGAACGTCTTGATAAACAATCTGACATCTAACTACCGCATTATTATCTATTTGTTCTATCTTCAGTGTCAGCTGACTGGTACCATTAAATGTACAGGTGCCTGGCATTTGAACTGCTGTAGTGGTTTCTGATTCATATTGTGTTTCACCTATAGTAACACCTTGTGAGTTACGTCTGTATTTCACCCATCTGAATTTGCCTTGTGGTTTGCCAACATTACCAGTACATGTAAAGACAACACTACTGCCTTCTTGTATCCCAACGGATGGTATTTATACTGGTTTACTGTCTGGTTCTTCTGGATTACCTTTTATAAATATTTAAAACTTTAAGAAGCCCTACATTATGTTTATGTACTCTTATTACTAAATTCTTCACATTCAAAGTACTGTAAATTATAATAAATGAACTTAATTTAAGTTGTTAAAATTTAACCCAAAAAATTTACCTTATCACCTTAATCTACAGGAACGACATCTATTCAAAGGTGCAAAATGTTTATTTCTGTCCTTTGATTGTCGTGTTTAAATAAAAAAAAAAACAAATAAGACATGTAAAATGTATGAAGTAAAGACTTTATATAAAATTAAGGAAAGGATAAAGATAATTATCCAGCACTAGTATGGAATTCCCTTCCCAATTAGGCAAATATTGTAAAGACCTGTCCATCCGTCTCATTACAATGAACGTACATAATTTACAGACAAATTTAATTTGGACAGTGAGTCATATACCGTTCTAGAGTTATGCCCCTTTATAACTTTGGAAAAAGCAAATGTATTCGTTTCCACACTCTCTCTTAAGTTTTCTTTTTATGAAACTCATACACAATGCAGAGAACTCAAACTCGCAGACAGAGTTCAAACTTGGGCAGTGAGTTATTTACCGTTCTAGAGTTATACTCCTTTATGGACTGGAAAATTGCCATTTCTTTCGTTTCTGCACTCTTATTTCAGTTTGCCTCATCCATATTTTATGAAACTCATACACACAGATAAGAACCACAACATGCGATAAAGTTTAAGTTTGCTAGTTTGATACTTGCCGTTCTCGAGTTATGCCCCTTTTTAACTTGCAAAGTTTGAGCGGGGAATACATGTCCTCGGACACATTCTTCTTTTATGATAGCTCTTACCCAGGTGACCTCTGCAGACTCAATGGAGCCATCAGATTTTATTATTTTTTAATAAAATAATTTTCTTTTTGCTTGATAGTCGGGCAAAACGCTCACCAGAGCTCATGATATGATTTTGATATATTGCCCATGTATGCATGCCCACTTTAAATAAAACATACTAACTTGATTATATAAGCATTGCTGTAACTGTGTCATGAAGACCATGCACTCATGGGTTTGCGTTTATTTACCTCCCTTTATTGTGAAACTATACAACGCTTTAAAACATTATGTGATTGTTGTCTGCCAATCAAAATTCTTATGAAATACATAAGTATATGTTATTCAATTATTAAATATTAAAAAATAGAAGAGAAAAAATGAGTAATTATGACGATCTTGTGAAAAGGTTAAAAAGCTGCATAGCTGAAATTATGAATAAATAATTGAATGTAGGAATTAGAGATTTATGGTTGATGACATAAACCTCCATCAAGCATTACAAGTACTCAACTAATATACGAAATTCAAATAATGAAAGAAAAATGCACCAAAGACAACCGAACTTTGTTCAAATGACATCTTCTCATTTTCTTTTGGTCTTTAACTCAATTACCATCATGGTCTTAGTAATTCAACTATGGTATGACTATCCTGTCAACAATTAGGTTGTGCGTTTGAACCCCCTCGACTCCAATCTTAATTGACTATAGTCGGCGGTTCTCGCCGGGTACTCCCAGTGTAAAAACCGTTGACGCGAGACCAATAGAAAAGTCACTCGCATGAAAAAGTCGAAAAAAACAATAGTTAAACCATGGCGGTAACAATACTGAAAACAAGTTATTTCCAAAGAACAATCGTACATTTTATAGAAATTATTTGTTAAACTATGTTATTAGAAATATACATGGAATTTCACGGTTGTTTTATGTTCATAATCAATTGAGATAATTGTATTAGTTTAAGGAATGTTAAACTTTGCAGCTTATTGATAACAAAAAATGAAAAATATCATGTTCATACAAAATCTAAAGATCGATTAGGTCGCATTCAAGTTATCATAAGCCATATTCCACTTGGTCACACTTGCCATTTTTTATACCCTTTACAA